TGTGTGTGTGTGTGTGTGTGTGTGTGTGTGTGTGTGTGTATGTGTTCTAAATGGATTGAGAGAAATCTTACTAGACACTTCCGGGATATATTAATTTATAAGCTTCCTTGTTATTTTAACGTAGATTATTTGGTTTTGAAATGAGCGCATAATGTAAATAAAAATTAAATGAAAAATAAATAATAAACCCATAACGGTGCACGATGGTAAACGGTCAATAAACAACAGTGGTTATACAGCGATCGGAACTACGGTTATCGTCATCGAGCTCACACGATAAACCGTCAGGGCACGAAGAACAGACACGATGAGTGTAAGGTCAACAAGCCCTCCAAACGGGGCTGGTTAATGTTTGCGTGTAAATCCAATCAATGAGCTTCTACAAGTCTACGTTATACACAGTGCTGGGTTTTAATCTTGGAAGACACTCTGATTAGGGTGGGCACCCTGTAACTACTAATCGGAGGCTTTTCAATTGCACAAACATTGTTTTTATTTGTCTAGGACATTACCATTGTCAGCGTTTTATTGTTCGAATACGTATAAACACCGTTCAATAAGTATATTTTATGTTCATCTAGGCCGTAAAGTGACAAAAAAACAATGGGGGGGCTTACTTTTTGTATCATATCTAACGTCCCATGAACCTATCCATGCAACACGTAATTAATTATATAATACATTTAAGTAATATATATAATAGTTAGTTAACATTTAATATCAGTTAGCTATTATTTTTGTAAAACATTTTCTTTCTCTGGACTATCAGCTATGATAATAAAATATAATAAGTCGTAAGATTCATAGTAATTGTAAAAACAATTTGTGAAACATGTTATACTTATGACGCTTATTTTGACCGATCAGTTGAGTAATCCAGTGATATTTTCAGTTAATTGTTATAGGGACCGCTTTTTAAGCCCTGAGAGAGGTAGGGGATTAGATCCCCCGACGAAATTAAGCATAGTACGTTTCTCGACGTTTATATTCATCGTTTCTGAAGTAGCCGTCTTAATATAGTAAAATGTAATATACGTGTTGGTACATCATTAGGCGCGATTTGTGTGAACAAATTCCTGATCAACACTGTAGACAGGAAGCACTCGTAGTGCTTTTACGATAATAACCTGACATTTGACCGTGACGGATAAGACCACGTCCTTTATTTCTAATCGTCGTACATCGAGACAACAGATCCGTGTGTACAATGATATAGATTCCTGGCGAGCCGCATTGGCGAGAATAGTTTTTGTAACAAAAGTAAAATAATTAATAACAAAATAACTAAATCGTATTTAATAGAAAATTATCCGTGTTTTTGAAGCAGCGCAGAAAAAGTTTAGAATTCGATTTCGCCGGAACCTCGAACCGCGTACGCGCACTAATTCAGTTATTTTTAATGCGGATCCCCCGAGATACGAACTCATAATAACAAAATGCAAAGTTTGCTTTAATTTATGACAATAGAAATAAAAGAGGTAAACCCGATGAATGGGGCGCGCGCGCGCACACACACATGAAGAAAAGGGGTCGCCTCGGTTATAAGTGATTTAGATCAATAATGTTTAAATTAGAAACTTTGCTCGACGTACACCACGGCCCACCCTTGTATCGTCCCGAACACACGTATGTCTACTTTATAATATAAACGTTAGTTGCGTTCCCGCCCATAGTGCTTTGCGCACCACCATCGCATTCATTAAGGACATTATCTAGAACACACCTCACACATTGTTACAAGATTGGACTTTGTTCGAATCACATGTCTGTTGTACGATCACACGGAGTTGGTTATTAATTGATTAAAAGGGTCCGGATGCATGACAACGGTAGGTAGATAACGTTGAGCGACTATTGTATGATTAAACTGTTGTCATGATTTAGTTTTTACTAAAAATTACATTAAAATTTGACTCTGATTGAAAAAAAAGAAGAAAAAATCAGAACATTTCTTATCAATTATTTGAAAAATCTGGGAACGTTAATGTTTATACTTTATACTAATCCACACTTCAATTGATCTTCGCTCATGAAATGTACAACACGAAGTTATGCTTTTATCAAGCGCATTATTATTTCGGCCTGCCAATCGTATGACGTTAGTTACTCCAGTCTTACTGTGCAACTACATTCTATACAAGTGTATTTTTTGGGCAGTATATATATATATATAAATAGGTTCCTATGTCAAACACTAAACGCGTTTTCTGCTGCTTACATAATTATTTTTTCACCGTCTCTGTCGAAGTTTCATTGAAATATTTTTGGTGTAAAAATAAATGAAGATTACCATCTTCCCACTTTCTGTTTTGTCAACATTCCAATTCCCAGATAGTTATTAAATAATTAATCCTACAGAAAACAATGATATTTGTGTGTCCACAAAACACCAATATTAGCGATAATTAATTCATATAGTAAAAAAAAAAATATTATTAATCATAGCCTATATGTTTTAAACATGTCTGATGATCGCTATTATTACACTATGACTATATAATATTTAAAAATAATATAACCGTTTCGTCATCCGTGATCAATTGGCTTCATGCAGGGCTATATAAATATATATATATATATTGGCCCTTATAAATTAGTCTTCAAAATTACAGGTTTTTGTAATTATTGTTGCATTTATGATTTCAGGTGTACAAGAAAAAAACTGAAGCGGCCAAAAAGGATTATTTAAAGGCTTTGGCAGCATACAGAGCGAGTCTAGTATCTAAGGTAAGCGCAAAATTACATATAGAAATATTTTTACTATTATCTTATAGCGGGCCGTCTATGCGTTACGGATTTGTTTTACATGCATACCATTTTAATATTTTATATTGGGTTTTAGACCTATTAAACTTCGGTATATTTTGCATGGTAGAACTTTTGCTGTAAAAACTTCTATAAAAATAGAATTAAAAAATGATTAACAGTCGATTTTAATCGTGTTTGGATATTTTTTTTTCAAATCGATCCGCTAGTGGCTGGTTGGTTAATGTTGCTGGTTCGTGAATAAACGATATACTTTTCGAACCCCTTATCTTTACAACGGTCGTTTAACCTCACATGAGAACGTATTAAGCGAGAAAAACATTTTTAAGGTCATAATAAAATTATAAAAAATAAAATAAAATTTATTTAACAGTTAATGCTCGCAAATTAATATAAAAATAAATATTTCATATAAATAAATAAATAAATACTTAGCCTGAAATATTATTATATTTTTAATTGGATACCAGTCGAGTATTACAAGTATAATAATATTTCAGACAAAGCATTTATTTTTTTATATTAATTTATATCTACGTGTAAAATATTTATTTTCTAAGTCTCTATTTGTGTGTTTACTACGATAAAAGGGTGCGCTTGAACGTAGATAATAAGAGGACTGGCTTGTGGGGAGAGAAAAATTCAGTCAAAGGGCGCTCGGCCTCCCAATGATAATAATTTTAAAAATAATTGCATTACGAAAATCTTATTTCCAAGACATGATGTTGAACTTTGAGGCATTTATTTTTTCCTTCCAGGGCGGTGAACCGGATTCCAGTATGTACGCCGGTGGTTACGTGGGCAGTTACGGTGGCGTATACAACGGATACTCGCCCCCAGCCGGCCTACCGTCGCCACCCATGTCCGTACCGTCGCCGCATTCGCAAGTACATGGTCAAGTCAAGAAGTCCGCCATGATGATGGACAATCGGGTTCCAGTTATGAACAGTCACCCACAAAACCACAACCAGTCGGTAAGTATCAACTGCGATATTATTATTATTATTATTATTATAATGTAGATTTATTATGCCTAAAGAGTGTCCGGTGTCCGTTTTTATAAAATGTGCGCTCGTATTACATAGAGTGGTCATCAAAGATCATCAAGTTCTCTGATCGAATACAGGCGCCTATAACTGTGGGTAGGTTGTAATCATTTTCTACCCCGCAAACGTATAGATAAATCAATATGCCGGGTTGTATAACGAATGTATTAAATGTATACACACACACATAGGTTAAAAGACATAAATGTATTAGTATAGTATGCGCATGGACATAAATAGGTTGTGTATTACGTTAGGTTAACCGCGTGTATTATTACGTTTGAATATTTTCAAACGATTAAAATAAGTCGGGACACACACTGTAATGAATTCGTTCGATGCAGTAAGGAAATATACATCGATATTACAATAATATTATACTCCGTTGGCTTACGATAAGATTTAAATGTCAGGATAAATAATCATATGAGAGGTCTATTCTGAAAATAGCTTTGAACCCGTACGAACTTTAAACAGATGTTATATTGGTCACTATCCAAATTTAATATTTTTTAATGAGTTGGAAAACTGTTTGGGACTATTGATAACTTCAAACACAGTTCAGTTTATTCTAGACAACGGTATGCTTGAAAGTACATTTGTTGTTCACTGCATTACACAGTCGTTATTCATACGCACATATTATCATTACACAATATTATATCTTTTATGATGATTTCGATTTTACGATACCCCTAGTGCACTCGGATCTGTCTAATGAGACGTTTGCTATTAATAAATAAACGATTTCGGCTCATTGCCTACTATTACGAAAGAAACGATGTTATTATGCTCCCGTGCAAGTCCGACTATATACTATAATGTCGTGTCGTTAATTTTAAACTGAAAACCAAATATAGTTTACAACTCTCCTGCATCCATCAGCTGTATAAGTGCATAGATGTGATTTTTACCGTAAATAATGGTACAGACCAATCTGATCGGCCTCTGTCGGTAATCCGTACCTACGTACAGAAATATATTTATATGCACGTGTATATAGAAAAAAAACCGTTCGGAAAGAATCTCACGCACGAACAGCGCATTTACAGGAGTACAATATTACATTGCATTTTGTTTTTGACACAATTAAAAAAACAGTCGTATTTAAAAAATTAGAAAAACTTGTGATGGAGCTGCTTTTATTGTTCCGCTGGTTAATATCTATCAATATATTCCGAGTAATGTGTGTTCTTAGAATCGAATATTTTTTAAACGTGCACTACAATAAAATGAGAAAACTACATCCTACCATAATTCGTTAACTCGACGTCATACTTGAACGAGTTAAACGTAATACGGTGAAAATACTTTGTTTTGCGTGATAATTGCATATAACTCTCAGCCCTTTTTTCTATTATTTTATTCTCCGTCACATTTATAGTTTTACGAACACAATAGTACCGTTTGTTTCGGAGTTTGAAATATTTTCATCGCGTTGTGAATAATATCTTCACCCCTAGTTCGATGCGCGCGTCGGGTTATGTTTTTCGTTTGTCTCGTGAACAGTAATAGTTTTTGTCGGATGTACCATCGCGACGCATCCGTATGTAACGTTCGCATCGACGGAACGCCTGTTGTAATGGGCATTACGCGGTTTTCATCAAGAATTATTTAGAAAAAAAAAAACAAAGTAGGAAAATAATAGAAAATTAGAAAACCGTACGACCGCCGTGTTTTCGTTAAAATCGGGCGCGTGCGGTGAGGGTCGTGGTTCGGATCGCGAAGGGGTGGAAAAGTTACCGCGCGCGCTTGGTGGGAAATATTACGTCGCGACTGCGGGCGACACTGTCTTGGCCGCGAGCTTGCCGTATCTCTTCCGCCCTTATCGCGACCTGGTGCTACGCAAAACACCGTACTGCATTGAGTTGAAACACGTTGTTACGATTTTACCGTTTCTATTTTTTTTTGCAGCAACAGACGGCCGGTCTGATTGGCAGCCACAACCAAGGCGCGCCCGTGCTGAACCATTTGTCGCAGCATCCTCAAGGCGGACTACCCCCGTCGCCGCAGCAGTCGCAGCCCCCGACGCCACCGGCCAACGTCTCATCATATGTGAGTATGACAGTTTGTAACCTACCCCGTCACGGCAAATGGGGGACGATCGACGGGGGCGCACCGGAACGTCGATTGTAATGTCGTGATGGCCGAGGCACCGACGGGATCGTGTCGTATCGGTGCAACGACACCGATATAATGTTATCTTAGATAAGACGTATCGTGATAACCCGATATAGTGGCGGCTGGAAAAACGCATCCCTACGGAGAGAGGGAGGTGGATATGATAATTAAGTGTACTCGCGTGTCCCGTAGTATTTACCTTCCTCTTACGAGAACACGAAGGCGCTTATCAGTGCGATTTTAGACCATTGGTTTGAGTAGAGTTGATAACGTGGGTAAAAGAAATCGCCGGCCGGTTACAAAACAATCCCCTTCGAACAGTTCGATAACGCGATGCCTTTGATGACTCAAATTAATTGTGCTGCCCTCAGGGTCGTGTGTTTGATGGAGGGGTGAGTACGATGGGGCGATTCACCCTAACCCTGGATGACAGGTTTCATTCAGCGCACTTCTGTTCGATCTATTTTACGGCTTTGGTCGTAAAATGGGAAACGGCCAATGACCTCTGATAGGTCGTATGACAGAGTTTTAATAAATCCACTCATATCTCCGCCCGAGGTAATATTGTTATTCCACTCGATTATATTGTCGTATAAGATCCATATGACCCTCGGTGAGATCGGCTGTAAAGTATGTGTGGGCAAAGCTTTGCGCTTTTGAACGTTCGTGCTTTCACGGCAACAAGTTGATTTACCGAAAAGAAACAATGTCCCATGACAATAATATTACATAACTCATTCACAGAAAAATAAAATAAAATCATTTTTACTATTGTTATTATTATTTTTATATTATTGTCACCCCTGTACCAGCAACTTGATATTGAGCACACTGTATCTTATAGTTCCGTAAGTCAGGTACAACGCGTATTCGGTTTGTTCTTTCGACGGTGTACCGTACATGTCAAAATATCGCGAGTGATTGATAATGATCGATCATCAAATAGACAATAGAAGAAGATCATAGAGTGGATAGTTCTCTTCAAACTACTAGAGTGCGGATATCGTGAAGATGACAAAACGATTATATGACTTAAAAAACCGCGATATATTCACCGTTCGATAATGTATTAACTATACGACGAATATAATTATTTTATTAGACGTCAATCCTCGTCCGCTACGGTAGTAGTTGTAATTCTACCGCGGTGCACGGTTCGACGACAATAATAATATTATATGCCAACTCCGTTGTTATCCGGCCCACAACTTTTGACCCAAGACGTGCGACGTTTTTTAGTCGAAGACCGTGATATCATCGTAAGACTCGTATTCATCTATTAGTAGATAACTATTGTATTGAATAGAAAAGAGTACCGTTTTTTTAAATGTTTATCTTAGAATTTCCATAGTTTTATCATAAGCGCCGTAGGTTTCCGTAGAATTTCACGAAGTCTTCCACTCGAACGCTTCGCCTTTCCTTATCTACTCATCGTATAATCGTTTCACTAACCGCTTTCCGTTGTAACGATGATATAGTAAAAATAATATTATTAATATAACAGTTTACGGCGACGAATATATAATACGCGTTATCGCGAAAAATGTCGAGTAACGGAAAATGTTACATCCTCAAGGGTGTGGATATGGATAGGGTAGAGGTAAAGTTGGCTGAGCTTAAGGAGCACTGCTCGTTTTTTTCTGTGTTGCGTATAATTACGTATATCCACTGATCTTGTGTCGCGTTGGCCGATAATAATTAGTTTATTCGCGATTGGAAAAAAAAGAAATCTTAAATCCATCCGCGTACACCAATAATATTACGGGTACTTACGAAAATTGTTCGAGGAAGATCCATTTCACCATAAAAAAAAAAAAAACTGCTAAATCTTATACACACGCGTTTTAAGTTTCCCGTTACAGTGTGTACGGTTTTTGTGCTGGGTCCGCTCGAGAGACGGTCGCTGTATTATATTGATCTACATGCAGATGTCTGCACCAGTAGTTTATAAGAAGGGGAACGGGTAGTAGTAATTGAATTCCCGTTTGTTTGTTGTCGAACAAAATCAATACGAACGTAATTATGTACACACATTTTGTTTTAAATTTAAAGGGTACTCGACATCCGTCACATGTGGACTGTCCACAGCTATCGTACGATCTGGTACTATTATATTATGTGTGTATTTATTGTTGTTTGTACGCAACGGTTTTACGTCGAATTGGTTTTCGGCGCGCATTTTTCGCGGCGCTTAAATTCGAATTACTCGTTTAATAGAGAAAACGAAAACGAAAAGCAGACCGGTAAATTGCAAGCGACTAACCACCGTCATGGTATTTCGGGAATTCGCCGTGCGCAAACTGCGAAATACCTCGTTCTCGTCAAGTCTTTCCGATTCGTATCGGTACACAGAAAACTGTCGTACAACCTGTACAACGGTAACAAATCAGTATTACGATAATATATGTACGCGTATTTACTATGGTAAGACGTGTCCGAAACATATCCAGTATTATGGAGGACCGCCGGTGGGTAAAAAGTTCCGTCGACAGTTCGTACTCGCATAAGAACCACAATCATGACTAAATATAGTACTTTAATAAACCGTTTTGGACTGCGGTACAGTCTGAATTATCGTTTTTTTTTTTTTTCCAACATCCTTTATCCCAACTCGATATTATTACGCGTATTCAACCGATATTTATGTTTTTATTAACTATTTTTCAGTGGCCGTGGTGTTTCAACCCGACGCAAAACAGCCATTAGCCGGTGTCTTGCAGACACTAGCTCAGAAGCAGTTGGTCGACGCGCGTGCGGCACATAAAACAACGACCACGTGACCGATCAAATGTCGCCGAGTGAAACGACGAGGACTGCGGTTTCGAAAATTGACACCGATACTGCAAGTGAGTGTGAATTATGCGTTTTTGCACCTGTCCCGTGGCAGAACCAAACGCCGAGGGTGGCCTTCCGTTCCGGGAGGAATCGGTCGAACAAATGTCGCGATCCCTAGAAACGATTTATTCGTTATCGGAAGCGATGTCCGCCGCACCCGAATAATACCGAACTAGCGATGAATTTCCAAATGGAAACTTAAACACGGGCCGGTTGTCTCTCGATTGTTTCGATCTAGCTGGGTTCCGTGTAGGTCTGCGTGGTAGTTTTTTTTTCGCGCGCTTCAAATAATCAAAATAAAAACGGTTTTCAGAAATATAGTCCTCCCACTACTTTGTCCATAAGGCGTCTAAAGATTTGTTTGATTAACACGTGTAATTTATTTTTACAGGAATATTGTAAACGCTCGGTTAGCCCATAGCGTGTGCGTCAATGTCAATATATACAAACTTCCCATGCCACGAACCTCATTATCTCGTCTTCTCTCATCATCTTGAAATACAGAATAAATAGACCCGAAGACCACTGCGTGTCCCGTGTACTATACGATTATTATTATTATTATTATTATTATTATTATTATTATTATTATTAATTATTATTAATATAATATATTATTATTATTATTATTATTATTATTATTATTAAAGTTAAAACTGTAATTATTATATATGTAAATCCTTGTGACTACGAGTATCTCATATTATAATGCTTGTGAATATTTTTATTTACTTATAAGAAAAATTAATAATATGATAATATAAAATATATTTAATATACTACTACATTATATTACATACATAAATATATATACATGTATATGTTTAATTTTTTTCTTTTTCAATAATATCGTTGAATAATAAATGTAAATAAGAATGTCATATTTAAGCAATAAACTTGCTCCTGTAAATGTAAGCAATGTCTCTCGCGACAATCCCAATGCTGTTTTGTGCACATATTAACATAACGTAATCAGATTATTATTGTTAAAATGAACTACTATTTTTTAACATATAAATTGTTTTCATTTTTTTTTTATTATGTTTAAAACATTAAGTTTTTTTTTTATGTAAATAATATTTACAATTTTGTTTTGTATTATATTGTATAATATAATATTATGGCCTAAACAAAACGAGCGTTATGGTAAAATCCACGTTAGTCTTAAACATTATTATTTACCATAAATACCCTTGGTAACTAGTACCATGGTACATAACGTATTTATGTCAATCGGACACTGTAAATTGTCACATGTTTTGGTTATAAAGTGCTATGATACCTACTAAAGAATTTTTCAAAAAAATAAAAATAATAGCTAGGTACTCATATCAATGTGAAATTATTATTTTTTATTCAAGTATTCATATTATTGCCTAATATTTATTTTTGTTTTATTTTTATTTTATTATTTAGCCAAATTGAAAATTTTAAAGTTGTTATTATACTGAATATCTTTTTCCCTTTTGTTTTTTTTTTTTTTTTTTTTTTTTTTTTTAAGTAGGTATGATTTTATATTTTGTACATAAATGATTAAGAACGCTCATGTTATCTGTTGTTTTTCAATCTGTTTATATAGTATATAAATAAAATGTAAACGATTAAAAATGAAAAATAAAAAAAATGTAATTAAATAGTGGAAAATAGTTGCTAGTTTTATATTTTCACTGTCAGAAAAATCAGTGCTACCATTTAATAAGCAATTTCTTGAATATTATACCTTTTTCATTTTTCTATAGATATGGCAAGACATTGTTACTAAAACTCAACAAGTAGTTAAGTATCTTATGCTCGTTACGATTGTTAGAAACAATTTAATTGAAATAAGTGCAAACAATGTACAAGGTGTTTCAATATTTGATTATGTTAAAAACCATAATACATCAAATGAGAAGTAGTTAGCATTTATTTGTTGGAACCGTTACAAGTGATTTGATCACGAATAACGCAATTATACCAATATAATAAGTGAACGTTTTGATGTTAATGGTTTTCCTTTCGAAACAAAACCGAACTGCGACATGTTAACATTAAACTCATAAATTACGTTTTGTCCCTTACCACGCTATGGTTTTCAGAAATTGATTCTTTTATTCAATGTTAATATTTTTAATCATTTTTCAAACGTTGTATACAACTATACTGTTATTGTATACTATTGAAATTTGTAAATTTATTGAACCTTATACTTAAGGATGTGTACATTGTTAAATACACTTAAAAGGAATTAATATGTCAATACTTGAATGCTGTACATGCATTGGTATAATACCGAAAAATCGTATAGAGTGTACAGAAAACATATTCCCATCGTTCCATAGACAACTCTGTTGGTAGTTTACTCCGTTCGATGAAACAATTAGTTTATTTCCAATCAATTATGATTGATTTACTTTCACAAAATAAATTATAGGAATTTTTTGGATTAAAAACTTTTGCACTTGTTGCATACACAACCGTATCTGTAAATCATTGTAATACAAAACTTTCTAGAAATTAAACCTGTATCTGAAAATTATACTTTTAATTCGCTTGATAAATTAATTAATAACAATTGATTAATGATAATTAATTAATTCATTATAATGAAAAATTTATCATAGAAAAACAATGTTTGGAAAAAAACTTTGAACTACAGAATGCACTCTGCAAATTTATATATGCCAAAAGTTTTCTGTTCAATTACCAGCTGTATGTTTGAAATAACTAACAATAGGTACCTATTAAAAATTATAAAAAGATGCATTAACAATAATTTGAAATTATTTTTGTATCCAACGCGAAATAAATAACTAAAACGAGCTGACTGTAACCTATTCAGCAATACATTTTTTTTTTCTTTTGTAGCTTATACATTTAGTCATTCAGAGTCTTCACTGCTTCCACTATTACACTCCACCTTCTCCTATTTTCAGTATTTTCTACAATCTTTGCCAGATCTGTTTTTATCGTGTCCGTCCATATTTGTTTAGGAAAGATTTTTGGCATTCATCATATGTATCTTATGTATCTATTCAACCATATATATTCAACCAATAAATATATAAAGTATATAAAATAATATAAAATTATATAAATTTTATATATTTATATGTAACCGAACGTACCTATTTGGCGTATGTTTTAATACATAAATTATTGAATGTAACAATTGTTTTATCTAACAACTTCATTAAACGATAGCGTCGAATAAGTTAGCTACAATTAGTTGTTGTATTTCTGAAAGCTTTTGGTACTGTCAACTACTTGAAACCGTACAAATAACTCGAGGTTACGAGCATACCGCGAGTACCTACTTAATCAACACTTGTCTCTCTTCTGTAAATTATGTAATATCTATGTAACTATGTATATATATATATATATATATGTATAAGTGTATGCAGTGAACTACTTGAACTTATCCGATACCTATAACTGTTGGTCAGTATAAGATTTTGGTTTAGGAAAGGTAACCTTTTAAATTACCTTTAATATGATAAAATACACGAATCATAATTGTACATTACAGATAAGTTTTTTTGATATGATTGATTTCATTACATAAGTCAGTCGATTGATTACTCATAATATATTATTACTCTCACTTGTTACTGTTATATTATTATTTAAAGTTAGAAACCATATGGAATACCAAGCGATGTAGATTGATCGGACAATTTGGACCTCGAATATAAATAATTACAAAGTACAATGGTTCTTGAAAATCACGAAATTCGATTGGATAACCGTAAATACCAATCATTGTCAGTGTTGTTTAAATATAATTAAAAATGTATCTAGATAAAGACAAAAGATAAAATACTATATATCTGGATTAAAAAAAAATAGCATTTTTCTTAAATTTTGTTAATTAATTTACTTTTTTTTTTTTTATAATTTTATACTTAAAAAAATTTAATTTAATTAAAATTAACTTAACTGATCTAATAAGTACATCCAATATAAATAATAAACAAGAAACATTTATATTATGTATATTTATGTATGGGAAATAAGTAATAAATAATAAGTACTTAGTTTTAAAGAAAATACATTCTTTGTAGGTACATTATAATTGTATAAAACAATTCATTACAATTTATATAATACTGATTATGAAGTAATATTTATGGTTAAAATATTACAAAGTTAATCCAACCATTATCCGTATTATTTAATTATTTTTCCCAGGAATCAAATTTTATAAAAGTCACTAGAAAATATAAATTGAATATAGTATTTATTAAAAATTATTCTTAAAAATAATACTTAAAGGCACAATTTAAATAATATAACTAAACGTATATTGTAATAACACAACTTTTAAAATAATAGTAATTAATTATAAAGTTAATAAATGTATATTATATAATATATGTATAATATATAATATTAGTTTTAAATTTTTATTAGTTTTTAACTTTTGATTTAAATTTTTCGAATATTGTGAATAAATATACTGGCATTTATATATCTAGATCAATAACGTTAGGTAACTCAAGAATTCATGTAAGATAATTCATCAGATAACTAATTTTGTTTATTATCTAGATAAGATCAAAGATAATTAATTATTTATCTAGATAATTCATTTCGATAATATATAAAAAATTTATATATAAAATAGAAGAATATTATTATTGAGTAAGATATATTATACTGACATTTTATATTTTTTTCTGTATCATAATAAAAGTAAGATAAATTATTAGTACGAGTCATAATAATAAGTATTATTGATATTTCTATTTGAGGTTCGAATTGGACAGAAAGGACCAAATTGCCTGAAATTGTCCCTAAATTTTCCGATATTCCATAATTCTCGTAACACATACACATAAATATATGTTTGAACCTCGAATAATAATAAATAATTGTTAAACTTACAATAATATACTGTAAATATCTTAAAAATAATTGTATATTATTTTATTACAATACAGAACAAAGTTTAAAACATCAGTATGATATTTCTTACTCAAACTACTTTTATCATTCTAAGTTGTATCTATTGTATTCCCATTTCACACTGTTAAAAGTAATAACTTAACCGATGCAATCGGACAACAAAATATGAACGATAATTTACGTTTACGATTAAGCCGTCGAGTTTTCGTACTTTTCAAGACACTTCGTACTTTGTAATTATTTATTTATGTTCGAATTTCCCGGGCAGGAGCAAATTTCCTGAGCAGTAGGTACACTGTCCGGTATTGCCCATAGATAGCATATATATATATATATATATATATATTATTATTATTATTATTATTATTTACTTGGCGATGAGATAAACCAGAAGCTTTATAAATTGGTTTCCGAAATGGTTTTATGAAATTGTGTTATTTATAATTTTTTATATTGCTTCTATTACAAAACTAACCAAGATCCTGGGCCAATAAAGGAGGGAAGAAGCAAGAACCTTCTGATCCCCTTTACCATAAATCTGCCGTTGTCCGTATTCCGTTTCACTAAATGTTCTATTACAGATTGTAAGTCTTGCACGTACAGTACATTGCACGGTTATGGAATAAATATCAATTATTATTACCAATACTTGGGTACCTACCGCTGTGGTATTGAAATCTTAAATAATAATTGTATTCGCCTACGTCTGATACAACGTTACGTGACG